GCAGAGTATTCTCTCTCGACCCTGAGCGTTACCCCCTGGCCAAGGTCCGCCAGCTTGTCGACAAGCTTCACGAAAATGATCAGCACTATATCGTCATGGTAGACCCTGCAGTGGCCTACGTCGAATCACCCACCCTGCAACGCGGCATTGACGACAACATCTGGCTTCTCCGTAGCAACGGTTCCGTCTGGATCGGCGTCGTCTGGCCTGGTGTTACTGTGTTCCCTGATTTCTTCGCAGAGAACATCACTTCCTTCTGGAACAATGAGTTTGCTCAATTCTTCTCGGCCGATAAGGGAGTCGACATTGATGCCCTTTGGATCGACATGAACGAGCCGTCAAACTTCCCCTGCTACTTCCCCTGCGACGATCCTTACGGTTCCGCTGTTGGGTTCCCTCCCGAGCCACCCGCCGTCCGCGAGAACCCCAGACCTCTCCCCGGCTGGCCTTGCGATTTCCAACCTCCTGGAACCGACTGCGGTAACAACCAGACCAAGCGATCTGATGTCCTCGTTCGAAAGCAGATGTCGCCTAGAATGGTGCCCGCCGGACAGACGTTTGACAATCTGGTGCTCGCCGAGAGACAATCATCCGGTGATCAGAAGGGTCTGCCCGACCGCGATCTTCTCTTCCCCAAGTACGCCATCCACAACAAGGCCGCTTGGGACACTGAGTCGAACGCAGCCCGTGGTGGTATTTCTAACAAGACCGTGAACACGGACGTGATCCACCAAAACGGCCTGGCCATGTACGATACCCATAATCTTTACGGCTCCATGATGTCCTCAGCCTCCCGAGTTGCCATGGAAGCCCGCCGTCCGGGTATTCGCCCCCTCATCATCACCCGCTCCACATTCGCCGGCGTCGGAAAGCATGTAGGCCACTGGCTCGGCGACAACCTTTCCAACTGGCAACAGTACCGCGTCTCCATCTCCCAGCTGATGCAGTTTGCTGCTGTGTATCAGGTGCCTATGGTCGGCTCCGATGCTTGCGGTTTCGGCGACAACACCAACGAACAGCTCTGCGCGCGCTGGGCCGCCCTCGCCGCCTTCTCCTCATTCTACCGTAACCATAACTCCATCGACAGTATTTCGCAGGAGTTTTATCGCTGGGACACGGTGGCTGACAGCGCTCGCAAGGCCATCGCCATCCGCTACCGCCTGCTTGACTACATCTACACTGCCCTGTACCAGCAGACCAAGGACGGCACTCCGCTCATCAACCCGCTCTTCTACCTCTACCCCGAGGACGAGAAGACGTTCGGTCTGGACCTTCAGTACTTCTACGGTGACGCCATTCTCGTCGCGCCCGTGACGGAAGAGAACTCAACTTCAGTTGATGTCTACCTCCCTGACGACGTCTTCTATGACTGGTACACCCACGAGGCTATCCAGGGCACCGGTGCCACAATTTCCCTGACAGACAAGGACTACACCACGATCCCGCTCTTCATCCGCGGCGGCACCGTGCTGCCTCTGCGCGCGAACAGCACCATGACGACGGAGCAGCTGCGCGAGGAGAACTTTGAGCTCTTGATCGCGGCTGGCAGGGATGGCACTGCAAAGGGCCAGCTATATCTCGACGATGGTGTCAGTGAGGAACAGGCAGGTATCACGCTCGTCACCTTTGATTACAAGGACGGCAAGGTTTCCGTGGATGGCGAGTTCAAGTACTCGACGCCGCTCAAGGTCTCCAAGGTTACGCTTCTCAGTGGAGGTACTCCTGCGAAGAGACAGGAGACCATCAAGACGGTTGCTGTCGAGTACGCCTTGACTGGACCTTTCGTGATCGAGCTCAACTGAGATGGATGATGGGTCACCTGGATGTAGCGGGGTGTTTTTACTTTTCTTCATATATATATTTATTGTGAGAATATCACTAACTTCACTTGCCTATACCATCCTCATGATGTCTTCGACAACCTCTTCAACTTTCGTGACACTCTACCCCTAATTGACCGGCACGAAAATGCGGTCAATGTCAGCAACCCATGACGAATCCGAGCTGGCAATCTTGATGGTGTTTGCAGACCCAGCAGTAAGGGTACAGAACACGGAGCTGCTCCCGGGCGTGTTCCCATCAGAAGTCGGCAGGAAGCCAACAGTCTGCGAGACGCCGTTGCACGTCACCGTGCCCCACCGCTGGCTCGTATCGCCATTCAAATGCTTCACGCGCACCGTCGTCTTGCCGGAAGCCTGCACGCTCACCCCGGAGAACGTCACGCTCCCGCCGGCCGACCCTCCGACGTAGCCCGCCGCCGCGGACCCGCTGCACCCCGTGCACGCGACGCTCTTGGCGCCGCCCGCGAGCGTCGCGGACTCGCCCTCGTACGACGTCTCGCTGGGCCCCGCGGCCCAGGTGCCGGCGGCGACGTTGGGCGTCCAGTTGACGCGGTCGGCGAGGGTGATTGTGGTGCCCGAGATGGCGAGGGGTAGCCAGACGTAGGTGCTCCGCATGAGGTTCGTGCTGACCCAGCGGTCGCCCATGTAGATTGCCGTGTCGCCCAGCGGGAGGATGTAGGTCGTCTGGCTGGTGTACGTCTTTGAGCCGACGGTGGCGAAGGTTGCCCAGGAAGACCAGGGGCCTGCGAGGGAGGTTGCGTAGGAGTAGACCTTGAAGGAGAGTATGTCAGTCTTTGTTTGGAAGTGGGGAGTGAAGGGAGAACGTTACGTTGTCGTTCGGGTCCCAGCCGGTAAGCTTGCTTCCAAACATGAAGTAGTATCCGTTCTTCTTCCAGATGGCGGGGGCCTCGATGTGATCGGGCCAGAGGTAGACGTTGCGCGTGACGTTGAGATAATCCGAGCTCAGGGCATTGATTCGGAGACCATTGGGTCGCTGTTGGGTTTAACTCTGTCAGTCTCCAGCTTATCTTTCAAATTCATCCCCCGTCGTCAAGACAGCAAGTTAAAGGGGATCCAATAGGTAATCTCAGAACTCACATCCTCAGTCAACAAATACGCAGACCCATCATCATCCTGAAACAACCCAATATCACGACTTTGGAACCCCAAAGGCTGCCAACTACTAAGATACGTGTACTTGCCGCACACCGTATCGCTCGTCGCGACTCCGATTTTGGCCTCGCCGTAGTTGCTGCTGTCAATGTGCATGTACATGACGTACTTCTTCGTCGCGCTGTTGTAAATCACCTTGGGACGCTCGACGACCCGGGAGGGCCCCAGGTCGCCCGCCGCCGTGGTGCGCGAGAGTAAGGCACCGACATAGGTCCACTCGACGAGGTTGGTCGAGGAGTAGCAGTTGATGTTCTGGAAAGCCGACCCTTCGGTCTTGTCTTCACCTATGAGGTAGTACGTCGAGCCTACTTTTGTCACGCCGGCGCCGTGGGCTTGGATGTGGCGGCCTGTGTTGGTCTGGATTGTATCATGACAGAAATTAACTGGGTGGTAGCCTCTCTATGGAACTGGATTTGAAGGAAGAAGGATGCTGGAGGGGGAGAGGGGGAGTGTCTGTTTCTTACCGCTGACCATGTCCCGCCGGAAACGACTTGAAGCGTGGCTTGCGCGAGGCCCGCGCCCGCGAGCAGGGAGGCGAGGCCGTTGAACAGACGCATCGTGAAGACACTCAATGCTCTTGTCAAGCCAAAGTGCGTGTAAGTGTGGGTGAACCAATTCGATGGCTTGAAGATTCGCCAACAGACACAAGGAGCCAAGAAACAGAAACGCCCTGAGATCATGGTCCTCCCCCGGTCTTCATATACTTTGCCCTCTTCCTCCATATCGTCCGTTCGTCCCGGAACACATCAATCGCCAGCCCCATCCGTGAACCATCGCAACGCCGTTGTCCATTCCCAAATTATCCATAGTATCGAATACAACCCACCCAATCTCGCTCCCACCCCCGCCGGCTCCGGGATCCCCATGTCAATCAAATACCGTGTATTCGAGCGCATATCAGAGGAGCCCTGTCAGTTAAGCTTTCCTAAGCTTTCACAAGCTTTCCTCCAGCCTACTCCGGCCTAGTTCCTCCTCGTGTCCCGGTCCCCGTTTTCTCCACGCCGCCGGGGGGCAGGCGCCGTCACGATCAAGTGAACGATACTAGAAGCGGCTAACTCGGCCGGACAATTAAGAAATCCTTCCAATCGTCCCTCAGCGCTTCCAAAATTCCAAGCCCCAGTTCAGACCGAGAGAGGGAAGAGAAGAGGGGGGAGGGGAGGGGGGCGAAAGAAGTGGTTCATGTCACTAATCAATATCATTGTCATGTGCACAACCATCAGCGTCTCCATCGGGAAGCCATACCTTTTCAACAAGCCTCCGTGCCCGACGCCGACGGTGCCTGGTGTATAATTACGTAGGGGCACCGGTAAGCAAGACGATTCAAGGCCAGGGGCAAAGCTAGTTTCCCCGCATTTTGACTGCGACGCCAAACCAGGCGCGCCGATGCGCATCGGGCATCGGCGGATCTACAGGAATCGGGTTCAGGTGAAGCACCGAGGGCTTCGAACTACCGGGCAAGTACCGGGCCCGCTCCGGGTGGCTCTCAAAAGCTTGGTTTGGTGATTTGCAACACCACCACGCGGACTAGTCATCATTGATTAGCAGAACTCTCTTCCCCGGACTCCTCTCGGCTGGTCCGCTCTGCAAAGCCGGGCTGAAGAAGATCAGACGAACTGCATAGGATTGATACGGTTGAAGAGAAAGCGGGGACCGGGGGATCGTACAGGCACGGTGCATTGATCTTCAAGATGGTTTCTTTTCTCTTGGCTAAGGTCTTTTCTGCCATTTTGTTCTCTTGATTCCTTATTCTTTTCCCACACTTGGTGCTAGCAACACGAACTCAACGAGACTGGCTACTCCATCATCGCTAAGCAGGCGAGCTCTGAGCCGGTGAGAGGCAAAGTATGGTCAAAGAGAATGAAAGTCGTTCATGTGTCTCATGTCAGTCGTATCCGATTAAACTCCTTCCAATCGTTGATGACGCCGTAGCATATAAGGTCGAAGGAAAGAATCCGCAACGCCCACGTCAGTTTCCGTTTTCACACGCTAGCCGTCCACTTCCATCTTGTCCTCGGCAGTGTCCTTGATCTCAGTTGTTTCTTCAACATCCAATTTCGGTTCAGGGTATGCCACCGATATCGAGTCTTTCGAGTCTCCACCGATAGGGCCACCACCGTTGCCAGGGCCGTTTCCGGCACAAAGACGATACTCGCCGTCGTCTTTCCGCTCGATGATACCTTCTTCAAAAGCCCACTTTGCCAGCAGCCGATCAACACCGAGTCGCTGGCCCTCACCCTTCTCCATATGTCTGCCAACATGTTCTGTCCATTCGTCCCAAGAACCAGGCCCTTCAAAGACGACTTGGCAATCTGATTTGGGACATGCCGACCTCTGAGGTGGCGACCGGCGTGTGACGAGGCAAGTTGTCTGCATCTCCTTGACGTGACCTTCCCACTCAACTTGCAATTTACTGTCTCCTTTGGCAATGGCTTTCTTGATCGCGAAAGGCGCATGCATGCGACGAAGATGTTGGGTGAAGAGATCTTTCCGGTTGAACTCGTTGCCCTTGCCCTCGACTGTGCTCTGTGGACAGGACGAGCACCGATAGTATTGCAAACAGAGATGTTGGGAAGCAATGTGACGCTTCCACTCATTCTTGGAGCCAAAGGTGCTCGTACAGCCTGCGAACGAGAAGGCACAAGGGAACGGCCTTGTATGCGCGGCCGCAATATGTTTGCGCAGTGACGACGAATCCTTAAAGGGAGCATGAGTACATAACGTGCACCTCGCCTCTTGCTTCGGTGTCGCTTTCTGCAAGGATCGTCGATGCTTGGCCTTCGCATTGGGTGTACTCATGTCAATCGAATGCATCGTGTCGTCTGCACCAGACTCATTCGCATCGTGGGATGAACCGGTATCCTCGTGGTTTGCAGGCATCGCCCCATCTGGTAGAGTCGTACGTTGCCGCTCCACGGCTGGCGGTGCCTCATCGCTCAAGTGGCGAACATGGCTGAGAGCTTTCAGCTGCTCTGCCGCTTCCTGCATCTCGGCCGAATCCTCAACATCGTCCTTGCCATCAACAACTGCAGCAGCAGCGGCAGCCGCTGCAAACGGTACGCTGGCCGGCGTGGTTTCGACGCGGTTCGCCGTTTCGTGGAAAGATGCGTCTTTGCTGTCTAATGAGCGCTGGTGCATAGATGGTGTACTTGCCGCCAGCTCTCGCGCTTCCAACAAGATGCGTCCGTCCTCGACTTCCTTTGCTGTAACTTTAGGGATCCCGGCAGAGCCTTTGAGCTTCTGGTACAGGTGAATCATGTTATGTGATGTGATGTATCCCAGGAAACAGCAGACCTTATCGTGCTGTACGACGTTCCATATTGAATGGGGCATTGATATTAGAAGCATGGTGGGCGGACCGAGAAACATTCCCTCAACCTCGATCTTGGCAGCCAAGGGTGGCGTGTTGTGAAGCCAGCCATTGAAGAAAGACATGTCTGGACTGGCATCTCCCACAAATGTGGTGCACACAAGCACTCGTGGCTCATCGAAACGTAAATCAGCAACAGATTCAGGGTCAATGAGCTGGTCTTCGCGCACATCCCTCGACAGTGATTCCCCATCAGACCCATTGCGCGGCGATTGCTGTTGACCCGCCCGAGCAGGCAAGGGAGCTAAGCTCAGACTTTGACCTTTTCCAGGTGTAAGTGTGAAGCAAATGGGAAGTTGCGGTGATGGTGGCGGAGTTTTGGTGGCACCGTTTGTGAGTTTAGCTGCTTGTGCGGTTTCCTGCTGCCTCAACTGGACAATCTCCTCGTGTAGCCTCGGTACACTGAATGGTCTGCCCGCAATGCTCAGCTTGTGCAAAGCTTCAATCAAGTGATATGTGAAAGATTTGCCCGCAGCCTCTCTGGGATTCTGCTCAGGACCGCCAGCTGCAATGGCTTGCTTGATGCCATGGCTTCCAGACACGGGTATATCACGAACGGAGCAGGCGTCGAGCAACAACAGAATATCGGACTGAGCATCTTCAAACAGGCAGCGTACACCGTCCCACTTGAGCTTTGCGGCATCTTCTCGGATATTGCTATGGAAGGGCGGTCAGAACGGTGCGGAGACGTGTTTTGCAGCAGATTCTCGACTCACCAAGCCCAGTAGAGCTGGTTATCTGATCCAACATATGCATAACCGGCGTAGTAGATGATCAGCAAGTGATTTGGTCGGGCATGTTCGAGAAAAGAAGCCATCTGAACCCCAAGCTTGATGCTGGGGTTGGGTACGGTCGGGATGGCCCATCGATTCGTCTGGTAGTTGTATCGGTCTCGTAGTATGTTTTCCAAAGCCGTCAAATCAGCCTCGACCGAGGTATCCTCCTCCCAGCGCAGTAGAAGCACAGAAACGCTATCGTAGGGTGCGCGCTCGGTTTGGCGCTGGATCAGCATGGCAGCATCTTGAAGATGCCTCGCGAAGGATTCGAAGTCATGGCGTTCGGCTGGAGGGGCCTCCTGGGTTGGGTGCTGCTGAGGCTGAATGGGTTCAAGAGACGGTTAATTCCAGCAGCTCAAATCAAGCTACGGGAGCGCAGAACAGAATCCTCACCGATTCATGGGGGAAAGGAGCCGGTTGTGTGGTGTGATTTGACGGCGACTCCTTTGGCATAAGCCGCCGCTTCTTGGATGGCTGGGGTTGTTCCATCTACAGTTGTCAATGGGAAGACAATTTGTACAAACGCGGTTTGGAATTGAGTTGCGTTATGATCATGGAGGCGCTCAATGGAGGGGGAAAGTTTTGGAAGGCAAGCACTGGAGGAATTGGGCGATGGCTGAATTGTCGTGGGCAGTGATAATTGGGGGGGTCAGAAGAGGTACCGAGGAAGTCTACATACAGCCTCGTTGCGGGAGAAAGGCAGGAAAGAGGTGGAAAGGCTCTGGGCCGATCCTGCCTCTTCTGCGACGGGCCAATCAAGGCTCACCAGGTACTCGCTGGTGGTCCGTGCAGCAAGGCGGGCAGAAGTGAGAGTGGAGCACACTGGAGCTTCCTTCCTTCACCTCGCGCTGGCGGTGACTTCTCTCCGACATTGAGATGCACCTCACTCAACCAGTCACTCACTCCCCATCGTGTCATGAAGCGCTGTTCTTTCTCCCTGCTTACAGTGGCTTCATCATCTGTTCCTGGCTGAATCATTTTCTGTCTTGTCCAATCTCGGCTCACTCCAATCTGGTAATTCCGCCAAGCTCAAAACCATGGCGGCCACTTTTCTCACCTTGCGCAGACATCAAACATCCCCGTCACTCGTCCTCCATGTATGTTCTTGGGCAACCTGTAAGGTATTAGGTATACAACTCATGCAGATTGACTGGGCTGAGTATACCACCTCGCGTGTGTGAGGTGTGAGTGTGTGTGGTGTCTGCCCGGTGAGTGTAGTGTACTAAGGTATGTAATGTGTGTGTGCCCCTCATTCCGCCGCCGCCGCTGCCTCGACTGCCCCTCCCTCCTCACGCCTTTGCCGTGCTGCTAAGCGTCCAAAAAGACCTGATAACTGGTCTCTCTCATGCACCCTGCCTGAATCACTGCCATTTACTGGTGCCACCTGTACAACCTTGTGCTGCAAGGCAGCTCCGTTGGGCATGCCTCGGACGTCACGTCCAAGGCCACGCCAGTCCGCTCCCTCACATCTCACTCCCACCACTCACCTACTCACTCACGCCCATCTCCCGCAGTTCCTCAAGGTCATTCTGAGCTTTGGTTGTGTGCTCTCAAGGTCACGAAGCCCAGTAAGAAAATGATGGCGTTCAGCACGGATACAGCTTCGATACAATTGACTTTTGACGTCGGGTGAGTTTATGGACCTGAGCTGGCTTGGTCACGGTCCCTGCCACCTGTCATCCGTTACACATCTCATCCCCTATCATCATTGGATTCATGCCCATCCAAATCTGTCTGTCTGTGTCTTGTCGACCACTGCAGCACGATACCAATCGGTGCTACCGCCGCCACACACGAGGCGTGGCAGCCCAGTCAGGTCGGCTAATGTAGTCTGACGGTCGACTGGCGAATAGCGCCGCAGCGCCGCGAGGTCCGCCAGAGAGAATATGTCAAGTCCAGGCTTGGGTTGACCGACAGACTGGGCAGCGTGGCAGCATGGCAGCATAACAATGGCGAAAGAGGGAACACCTTCTGCTTGGCTGATTCCCAAGTTACACTTTCTACCCGCGTCGGAAGGCATGGCTGCAGGCCTCTAGTCCCACCACATCAGACCCTTTTCACCTTCCTCACTCCATCCCCCTTTGCAGCTGGCCAATTGAGCTTGCACGATCGAGTCTCAGCAGCTTCCATTGCATCCGCCTCCTATCGGCTGTTTTGCTCCGTCAGCTACACTTTCCAGCCCACGCGTTGCGCTATTGGGCCTCATCGTCCGCCTCCGCGTTGTGCAGGACATCCACACCGTGTAACACATTGCCCCGCGTCCAAAAGCTCAGGCAGGCTACCTACCTTATATATACGGATGCTCTACTACCTATGAACTTCAATACTCCATCGCGCTCTCAGGACTGCGTCTAGGTACTGCCGCACATACACCAAAAAAGCCCCAGCAGCTTCGCCTTGTGCCACCAAGTGCATCTCAGGCCTCGGTAATTGATGATCTGAAGGGAGGACCCTCCCTGGTAGCAGGGAATACAGCTGTCGGGGGCTGGGAGCTTATACAAGCGCGGGATCATGCAATATTGATATTCGCTTGTAGCCAAGTCCAGGCCGTGAAGCAATGCCAGTAGCGTGAAGAAGTCGCAAAGGGCATGGTGGAAATAGGATTTATCTCGTCATCCGCGCCTGAGACCATCGCAATTGCGGCGGCAAGGCTGAGACGAATTGTCGCAAATCTAAATTGCCTTCTTTCGCATGCTATCTTAACTTTTAGGGCCCGTTACCTAGTCAGGTACTATGTGGACGTATTTGTTCCAGGCATGATGAATGGTTTCCCAAGACGAAGCAGGCCGGGCATGGACTTGGCTACAGACTCGATAGAGGGGATCTTTACGGCTTGATGACCTGTTGAAGGTTCAATAATTCTCCAGTATGACTCTGTCTGTTCTCTTTGCTACCGACCTGGGTCCATTGAAAACATTGCTGAGGTCAGCAGTTGTGGGAGCTCCGGGCGCGGCTTGCCCCGGGCCGATAAGTGGGCCCCGAGCAAGGAGGCACCCGGTGTTTGTTGATCCGTTCTCTCCGGGTTCTCCCAGCCTCTTGTTCATTGCTGGTCGAGAACGCCGAATGTGATGAACAGCACGCCGGCCCCGAGGACCTCATGGGAAGATGGGATCTTCTGCTCCACCATGATTTGGCCGCTGGCATGCCTAGGTTGCAGTAAATAACCGGTTGACGACATTGCCCCAAGGAAGGAGCTTGGAGACACGGAAGACGCCCGCAGTCGAAGTAGTCAGTCGCCATGGGCCCGCATCCTCCGTTGCCAAGTCGGATGAAAAGTACCATGTTCTCAACACGATGACCGAAGTAAGAGTCTGCGTCTGAGAAGATAAACGTTGGCGGACACAAGTGACGAGAGGAGAAAGCGAACCCTTGATACGGGACGGAGGGCCCGGTCAAGGATCACGGCATTCGGTGTGCGGGCCGCCTGGAGTGGACTTTACCAGTCCACAAATCCTAGAGACTCTAGGAGTCGGGCATGAATGGGCCTCCGAAGAGGCGTTGACCAACTTTCCCATCGAGCTGGTGAAGCCTTTTCTCTCGTGCCTCTGAAATAAACCCAGCAAATGAGCGGGTTGGGATTCTATTGCCAAGAAGCACTATCAAACACCGTTCCAGGAATCGACAACCAGGAGAATCGTGTTTTGTCACGCGAGCGCTTCCAAGTGGCGACAAAGGCTCCGAACACTGAAGTTCGAAAGCTCCAAAAGCAAGACTGACGAGTGAGAGAGTTGGGAACTCGCCCAAGCCTTGCACAGCCACGCGGGAATGAGGCTTCGAGCTTCTAGTTCGGCAAGAAGAACACACCATAACCAATCAACATCTTGGGTCGGTGGGTTACCTCAACGCTCGAGATGGGAGCTAGCGCAGCCAGGCGGCACATGCAAAGCTGAAAGCTGATGGCACTGCTGACGTATGGGTGTGGTCATCCGAAGGGGTCCCCTGTCCGCATCAGTAGTAGCGAGTGTGGGAATACCTGCTGTACGGAGTGCGCAGTAGTCACTAGGATACGGCTGGCAAGTTCTCGTGCGTGGTGACAGGCTGACAGCTGCTTCGCTGCAAGTGAGAAACGCATGTTATCGTTTGTTTTGCAGCCAAGTCAAATGGTAAAAATCCAAAAGACAATTTCCATCGACAAAGGGGCTTCGAATGAACATACACCGGACATGGCGAATAAGCAGCTGCTTAGACGCGGGGAAGACTGGGCTGCTGCTCTTCTGTGGTCAGAAACAAGCCAAGGCCGTGGCAGCACGAGCATGTCATCGGGGCCCAAAGTAGCCGAAGATCTGGTGGGGCACTTCCGCACCTCGAACCATGGGTAATGGTAATATGTAGAAGATTGTTGAGTGTTTCTCGGCCTCGGTCTCCGCTCGGAACCTGTGACTTTGAGGTCTTTTGGTTCTTTTGAAGGGACCATCTCGAGAGAGCGGGGCGTCTGTCAGGGCAGACGGTAGTGCGGCAGAGGTAGAGGCACTATCCGCACCCATGAACTGCTGCGGCGCTGTTGCGTGGGTACTCGCAGTGTAGGTTTGACGGCCTCGATTGGAGTTGTCGCGAAAAGAGAGGTTCGAGAATGGTTCTGGCTCTAGTGCAGGTTCCCGGGATCCTCCAGCAAGGAACATGGCCTCAAAGCCTAATGGAAGGCCCCCAAAGTTGCACGTCCCGGAAGAGTCGTGGGCGGACGGTCGGTTTCAAAGGCCGAGATTGGGCGGGGTTCGCAAGTATACGGGATTGCGTGGAGTGGGAAACATTCTGCGTCCCTGCGGTTTCGTTTCGGCTATGGTATAGACAGGCAAGGTACTGGCTGCGAGACTGCTGTGCTGCTGTAACTTGCTAGCCTATTGAGCCGTGTATCTGCCTCGCGACCTGCCTCGGGGTATCTGTCGCGTTTGCCGGAGTCTTGATTTGTCTGGTTCGTCCTGGGATTTCGTCTTTGGAATGTACCGGGAGGCCTGGACCGACTGACTATCCGTGAAGACTTGGATAGGATACTCGTAAGTTGCGATAGGCGAGAAATGGGAACAATAGGCGATGTCATCTTTTGTATACTTGGGCTTACCTTACTAACCTTACCCTCGAGGTACAGCAGTTACGCTTGCGTTTGTGGTCAGAACATGAGTTTGGCTGTTCGCTCTCTCTGATAAATGAGAAAGAATGATGCAGAAATGGTAGAGGGAAGAAGGACCAAACTTCCATCCGACCATCCCATCCCGTCGTCCCGAGGCAGGTACACTACCTTAGAGGGGTATCTTGGACCTTCCATCCCACCACCCAGTCTCTCTTTCCATCTCCCACTTTTATTATTTGCCTCTCACCACATTCTCTTGCCGGTGCTCCCGATTCCCTTTTTCACTTCGCGTTGGCGCCCTCACAAACTCGAACAGATATTGAGAGCAAGAAAGATATCACCTTCCCATTATCTCGCCTTCGTCGTGTTGCGAAAACGCACCCACGTCGGAGCTCTACGGTCCAGGCACCCCTCAGTGCCTCGT